GACAGCCATTCCAAGAGGCTGAGGCAGGGTGATCACAAGTTTGTACCCAGCCTGGGATGACTTAGCAACTAAGTGAGACTCTGTCTCGAAATGCGAAATAAAAAAAGGACTAAGGGTGCAGCTCAGTGTCAAGGCCCTGGCTTCAATCCCCAGTACTACCAAAAAAAAAAGAAGAAAAAAAAGAAAAGAAAAAGACTGCAGCATGTTATGAACCTAGGAATCCATGCACATGACCCACTACAGCCCAAATTCCAATACCATCTGCATCTGCAGTGTTTCTAAGGAAACTCCTTGATTGTTAGACCTTGTCCCTCTTAGGGAACCCTCTTGCTGGTTTGTTTCTTGATGATAACACTATCAGGAAAAGATGATGGGGCTTGATTTAGATCTTTCTTTCATTGTCTTTTTTTTTTTTTTTTTTTTGGCACCAGGGGTCAAACTCAGGTCCTTGTGTTTGCAAGGCAGGCGGTAGAACCACTGAGCTAAATCCCTGGCCCAGATTCATTGGTTATTATGAATGGTGTCTTGCTATGCAGCCTTCCAAGTGCTGGGATTACAGGCATATGCCATCATGCCCAGTTGAATGGGCCCCTTAATGCCTTTTCTTTGGCCCTTTGGTGTTGATAAAACAATTTGAATTTTTTTTTTTTAAAGACAGTATAGTTCAGGCTGACCTCAAACTCCCAAAAATCCTCCTCAGTTTCCTCAGTGCTGGAATTACAGGTGTATACTACCATGTCTGGCAAGACTTTTTATTTTTTTTTTTTTTTTTGTACCAGGGATCAAACTCAGGTCCTTGCACTTACAAGGCAGGTGGTGGAACCACCGAGCTAAATCCCGGCCTGAGACTTTTTTTTTTTTTTTTTCTGTATAGAGATTGAACCCAGGACCTTTGCACTGGGCTATACAACCCAGCCTTTTAAATTTTTATTTTTTTGTTTTGTTTTTTATGGAACCAGGGATCAAACTCAGGACCTCAGTGCCACTGAGCTACATCCCTGGCCCTTATTTTTAGTTTTTGAGACAGAGCCTTTCTGAGTCCCTAAATTGCCCAGGCTGCACTCAAATTTATAATGCTCCTGCCTTGGCACCCTAACATACTGGAATTATGGCATGAACCATTGCCCCCAGTTTAGATTTGACATTTTAAAAATTGGTTGATGTTAGCTGGGTGCGGTAGTGCATGCCTGTAAATCCCAGTACTTGGGAGGCTGAGGCAGGAGGAATACTATGAGTTTGAGGCCAGCCTGGGCTACATAATAAATTCAAGGCCGGCCTGAACTACATAGGGAGATTCTGACTCAAAACAAACAAAATTGAGCCTAGTGTGGTGGTACACATCTGCAATCCCAGAACTCTGGAGGCTGAGGCAGGATTACTGAGTTCAAGACCAGCCTGAACTACACAATGAAACCTCGCATCAAAAAAAAAAAAAAAAAAAAAAAAAAATTGATTTCCCATAAAAATGCCTGGTTCCTTTTGAAAAATCAGACTAGTAACTACAGGCTCAAGTACCCACAGGAAGCACCCATTTTGAAGTGGAACATAGCACTCAGATGGCCTGGTCACCCACATTCCACATCATCCCTTCTGGCACTTAACTGACTCCCTTGACTGCTGGAGTTTTCAATCTCAGACCTTGAAGGTCATGAGTCTGCAGCCGGCTTTAATGATCTCTGCTTTCCAAGTGTGACATTTACAGGTAAGGAGAGGGAGGATTCAAAGTCATATGACAATTTCCCACCTGAGCTGAGCACAATTTCATTCATTCATGTGTGAATTTGGTTTTTTGTTGTTTTGTTGTTTTTTTTTTTTTTGTACTGGGGATCGAACTCGGGTCTGTGCTTGCAAGGCAGGCAGTGGAACCACTGAGCTAAATCCCCGGCCCTGAATTTGGTTTTGTTTTTTTTTTCAGACAGGGTCTTGCTATTTTCCAGATTGGCTCTGAACTATGTAGCCCACACTGGCCTCGAATTTACAGCAATCTTCCTGCCTCAGCCTCCTAAGTGCTAGGATGACCCAGCAGACTTAATGCATGACTCCAAAAGAACAGGTAAGAGGGCTCCATTCCCACAGGATCCCTTCTCCAGGCCCAGCCAGCTCTTTCTAGAAAGATCCCTGATCTGTCTCTATTTCCTAACAAGTGCTCCTTTGTCCCCTCCCCCTCTCTCTTGGTAACCTAAGATGGGGCCCAGCGGAGCTGCAGAACTGAATTCTCATTGTGTTGCGAGAAGCCAGGAGAAAGGGAGACTGCAGAATGAGGTGGGATGCTGAGTGGGTTCCCCAAGGATCTACCACTCCTTCAAAGGTGTCCAGTGACATGGTGCACGGCCCTGGGTGACCTCCTGCTGCTCACTTTCCCTCCCAGCCCTGGCTGGCATAGTTAGCAATGATCTGCGGATAAGACTGCTTCCCTTGTGTCCCATAGCATAGACTTTTGGCTCCAAAATTCCTCTGCGATTCACCAAGATAGGAATCAAATCACTGTATGAACCATGTCCTCTCAGGGTTTGATGGGACCTTCGAAAGTTATAGCTGTCACTTGCTCTCCAAGGCTGCACATCATGAAAGCAGCAGTGTCAGGCTCGGTAGTTCTCAGCCCTCGCCTGATGTCACCCTGTGGGCAGAAGGCTGAGGATGGAGCTGGGGCAGCAGCGCGCAGCAGTAGGGGGCATCACTGTGGGGACCTGGGGATTTTGGAACACATGCTCAGAGAAGACAGTAAAGGTCAATCTGGAGGGCTCTTCAACCCATGTTTGATTTTTTACATTTTTTTTCTTTTCTTTTTTTTTTTTTTTTTTTTTTTTTGCTACCAGGGATCGAACTTGTGTCCTTGCACTTGCAAGGCAGGTGGCGGAACCACTGAGCTAAGTCCCCAGCCCTCATGTTTGGTTTTTTAGCTCCAGCATTTTCCAAGCCAAATTACACAGTTGTCCATCTTTTTTTTGTTCTGGTGCTGGAGATCGAGTCCAGGGCTTCATGCATTCTGGGTAAGTGCTCTACTGCTGTGGTCCAGCCCAGTCCTCACAGTCCCCAACCCCTTTTGAGAAATGGCCTTGGTAAATTATCCAGTCTGGTTGGCCTTCAACTCCCAATCCTCCTACCTCAGCCTCTTTAGTAGTACAGAATTCAATTTTCATGGAGCACTAATTAACCTTCCAGGGCTCTGCTGCCTTCCTCATCTTCTTGTTGCTGTATATAAATACCACAGGCAGGGGCTATTTGTGCAGAACAGACCTCACTCAGCTCATGGTTCTGAAGGCTGGAGTGAAAGCCTCTTGCTCAAGGGGACTGTGCACAATCCTGAGTGGCCCAGGGACAGTATGGAAAGAGGAGGGGTGACTTTAACAGACCTGGTTCTCAGCTCCCGCCCAATACCAGTCACAATGATGGGCTGTGGATGGAGGGAGAGCTAGCTGGACATGGTGGCACATGCCTCTAATTTAAACCTACTCAGGAGGCTGAGGCAGGAGGATCACCTCAAGTTCAAAGACAACCTGATCTATAAAGCTAGACCCTATCTCAAAAAAGAAAAAAAAAGGCGGGGGGACCTAGCAGATGAGAAGCCATGAATTCAGTTCCCAGTTCCACCAGAGAGCAACCAAGCTACTTTTTGTTAACAACCCTGTTCTTAGGATAACCCATTCATGACACAGGGCCCTGAGGGCACCAAAGCCTCTTAGGTCCCTACCACTTAGTCACAACAGGATTTAATCTCAACATGAGTTTTGTTGGGGACATTCTGACCACACCTGCCAGCACATCTGGGGAGATGCTGGTGCCTGACAAAGAATATGGGTTCTGAAGCTCGTTCTGGTTTCCAATTACGGGCCTAGTGGTTTGGAGAAATTATTTCATCCTTTTCTCCCTGATGGAGGTGAGGTGGTAAGAGCTGCCCTACCTGTTACAGGGTTGATCTGTGGGGGAATCTGGAAAACAGATGCAAGGCTGCAGAGCTGTGGACCAAGTCAGGAGCCAGGGCTGTCAGCCTGAATCTGCGCTTTCTGCACACAGACCCACATCCTGCATCGAGGAACCACCTTGTGTGGTCTGCCACGCAGCAGGTAGCTAGAGAAAGGCTGGAGAGAAGGGAGGGCCTGCTGTGGTCTCCCAGGACTACATCACTGGAGTTAACATTAGCCCGCGTCTACACACAACTGGAAAAGGCAGTCAGGTAGCTTAGCTCGGACACATTAAGTTCCCAGCAGTTTCCTGCAGTGCTTGGCCATCCCAACCTTCCAGGGTCATAAGAGGTCAAAGCTCCACCACTCCACACTGGTCTGGCAGGAGACAACCTCAGGCCAAGCTCTAATCCTCCCCAAGCCCCTATGCTTGGCCCCCTCAGCACTGAGCCCCTAGGGTGTGAGCTTCTCCCTGTGGAGTGGATCGCGTCTTTGCTCCTTCCCCTAAATCTTGGATCCTGTTGTGACTCTTGGCTCTCCTGCTCAAGAGGGCACCGAGAACTTGGACAAGACCCCGTCCAGTAACCTCAGTACAGTGCAAGACCAGCAAATGCTGTGGGCGGGGACACATGGAGTGGCTGTGACACAGGCCCAAGTCCTTCAGACGTGCACCCAGGACTCCACAGGATGCAACTCCAAGTCGGTGTCCTCTTTACACACAGGGACTCACATCATAGCTCAGTGCAAAAGGAAGATCAGGCCCGGGACTCTGCCAACATCCCCATGTGCCACCCAGGCCTGTACATGCCGAGTTCCACACAGATCACCTGCAGCCTTTACAAACTGCCTGCGGAGAAGCTTGGTCTATCACAGATAGAAAACAAGCTCAGAGGGACCAAGGGACCTGCCCAATGCCACAGCTGAGCAGTAGAACCACACTGGATTATGCTTTGATGAATAACATACTAGGCTGGGCGTAGCTGAAGTAGGAAGATTGCTGAGAGTTCAAGGCCAACCTGGGATACATAAGGAGTTCAAGACCAGCCTGAACTACATAGTGAGACCATCTCAAAAAAATCAAAACAACAAACAAAACCCAAACAAAAAAAACCCCACAAAACTTTATTGCATTATGACAGCCTACCCAATCTTCTCTACCACTTGCAAGTATCCATGTCTGTGTCCAAGGTCATTTCTACACTGGCAGTGGGATTTGTTTGGGAAACTGGGGCCACCAAGTCCTGAGATGTGACTGTGGTGGCACAGTGAGGTGGAGGTGAAAGGTCATCCCAGGAAGGTGGGGACAGCTCTCTGCCACCCACAAGGGGAAAGAACTACAAACTAAAATCCCAAGTCACATCTCCCTAATAGTTCCTAGGACAATAGCAAAACAAAAGTCAAACTCAATGAGACTTGGCAAAGTTTTTTTTTTTAACTTTAAATTAAAAAACTTCTCACATGGAAGAGATTCAACTTAGGTGCTCTGAGGAAATATTAAAGAAAGTAGAAGTAAAAAAAAAAAAAAGACCCCAAATGATAAAAATAGATGTATCCTCCATAAAAATCTGGCCTACACTAGTCATTCATGGCTATTCAGTATTCAGAGCATTGAGGTGACAATGAAAGTATAAAAAATTAACAAACAAAAAAAAGCCGAGCCACCGACAATGAGTCAATGGCCGGCCCCGGCACCGGCCCCGGAACCACTGTGCATGGCCCTTTGGTCCTGCAGAGTGCGTGGCCTCAAAGCTCCTCCTTGGTCCGGCTCCACTTTGTGCTATGTTCATCTAAGAACTTGCTCAGGTGCTCCAGGTCTCTTTCCCCACCCTCGAATTTAATTGGGTTCTTTTTGTCCCCGCTGGGGGCGAAGTAGATGGTGGGGAAGCCCTCCACCTTGTAGCGCTCACTGGGGACATCGTTGGTGGTGGCGTCCATCTTGGCAATGACCAGGTTCTTCTGGCCTTTGTACTTCTTGGCCAGGCTGGTGTAGATGGGCTCAAGCTGCTTGCAGTGCCCACACCAGGGCGCATAGAACTCGATGAGGACGTCCTTCTTGGGGTCCATGACGACTGCATCAAAGGTCTTGCCCACCACCACTTTGACCGGCCCCTTGTTGTTCTTAGGCACCGGCTGGGATTTGATAACTGGCTTCAGTTTTCCTGCCAAGAAGAGCAGGGAGAGGGTGGGGGTGTCAGTGCTGGAAGATCGGGGACCTGGTGGCTCCACCTGGGTGGGAAGTGACAGCTGAGGGGGACAGGGTGGCCCTTGGAGATGGGCCTTGTCCCAGCCATGGGCACCATCGTGGTTAACTTGTATTCTCTACCCTACTTGTGCCTGCAAAGCCAGGGAGGTTTGCTCCTTCTCCAACAGGCACGATGGCACGCTATCATGGCCAATGTGAACAATAAACCTACTGTGGGGAACTTCAAATCTCGTTTTCCACAAACACGAAACTTACTTCCAAGTCTAAATGCCTGTTTTAAGGAATTTTAGTCAGGCACGATGATGTATGCCTGTGATTTTAGCACGCTAGGAGGCTGAAGCAGGAGAATCACAATTTGGAGCTCAGCCTGGGTAATGAAGTGAGATCATAACTTTTTTTTTTGTTTTTGAGAAAGGGTCTCACTATGTAGTTGAGACCCGACTGACCTAGAACTCACTACGTAGCCCAGGCTGGTCTGGAACTCACAGTGATCCTCCCGAATCAGCCTCCCGAGTGTTGGGATTACAGGCATGCACCACCATGCCTGGCTTTGATGTATCTTGAAAAATAAAGGGCTGGGAGATAGCTGTCAGAAGCCAAAGAAAACAAGAAACAGAAAAGCTTTCCTTAAAATTTCTAAAACAGCCAGGCAAGGTGGCACACACCTATAATCTGAGAATTTGGAGGCTGAGGCAGGAGGATCACTCCAAGGTTCAGGCCCGCCTGGGTTACATGAGTTCAAGACCAGTCTAAATTACATAGCAAGAAAAAAAAAAAAAAAAAGCTGGGATTCTTTATGTCGACCCCCTAGCACTCAGGTCCCACAGCAGTAAGCAAGGTCAGACTTATCACAAGGCACTGCCAGCAAAGAGGCTCTGATGTGGGCTCTTAAGCCACAGGAGGCTCAGCTTTTCCCCAACTCTGCCCTGTGTCTGGGCAGCAGCTACAGCTGCCCCTCTAATTTAATCTTGACTTCAACTTCTTGAGGCTCATGTTAAATAAGCCCTGAACAGGACCCCAAATCTTGTTCTGCTTCCAAAGGAGCCAAAGGAACTGTGGAAAAGAAAACACAAAAACCAAAAACCTGCTCACGAGTGTTCTGAAACTTACCAGCTGATTTGGTGCCATGACTCTTGGGGACAAAAAACAAGTCATAAGTGACTGGGACATTTGGGGACAGGGCTATCTGATTCCCCCCTACCCACTCACCCTTTTTGAAAGCTTTGACGAAGTCCCGGAGGACGTCGGCATCGAACTCCTCGGGCTCCATGGCAAATTTCCGCCCTCCCTCATCCAGTATGGCCACATTGATGTCCTCGCCGCTCTCGCTGAGCCCCAGGTCCTTCACCTCCGTGGTATAATCCTCCTCATCAGCGATAGCAAAGGTGTACTCAGGGAAGTCCTTTGCCACCTCCAGGACCTTGCTTCGCCAGAACTGAGTGGCTGGAAGGGACCAAGTACCGTGAGCAGAGCTCAGACCCCCACGTAAGATTGAAGGGTTGCTGCTAATGTTCTCTGCTGAGGCACCAGCCCTGGATGGACCCTGGTCAGCATGGACAGCCCTGCAGACAGCAGACACTGTGGCAGCAGGTGATCCTGTCCTGCAGCCTCATCTGAGAGGGGCTTGGGCGCCATGCTAAGCTCCCCTCTTACATGAAAGTGATGGGGAAGGGTGGAACTGACCCGAAGCCCTAGCAAGAATACCCCTGTGCCACTGACCTGCAGGGGCCCTAGGGGAGACCCCTCACATGCAACCCCAGCAGTCCTGGTCCCCTCACCAGCACGATAGTCAAAGCTGAAGTCCACAGTGTAGTAGACGACCACCAGGGGCCGCTTGGCATAGCGCTTGGCATCATTGGAGGTTTTGCGATGGCCAACCAGGGGCAAGGCGTGCTTTATCACATGGTCCTTGATGGCCGATGCCTCAGTGGAACCCTGTGTTAGAGAGGGCACAGGTGACATTGGGCTTGGTACAAAAGGAGTGTAGCTGACATGTCTCTCATGGTCACTACTGTCACACTAAAGGAGAGGCAGTGGAGATGAGGGGCTGCCAAATTGTAGGAGGGCAGGTGCTAGGCTGGTTTCACTGTGCACCTCCCAGCAGCTCAGGGTCTCCTGGGCACTGCTCCCTCCAGGCAACACCAACACAGCCTCATCCAGGGCAGGGGAGAGCTTCCCTTTGTGCCAGTCTCCAAGCCAGGAGAAAAACTCAAGAAGAAGCCTGGCTGTCAGTGATGGCTGCCTAGGTACCCATATTGGGCAGAATTTTAACCTCAGCCCCAGGAGGAGCATCTGACAGGAGCCAAGAGTGAGGCATGCTCCAAAGTTGCAGGCTGGCAAGTGGCCAGGAGAGGTTCTGCAGTGTGACCAACCACATCCCAGGTGGATTCTGCCAGAGATCAGAGGGTCAGACTGGGGTGTGTGCCACTGAGCTGCCACCCGCTGGGACTGTCCTCCTATGTACAGTTGTCTCAGTGTCAGGCGAAACCAGCTCTGATGGCACCCATGATCAGCTGGGCACAGTGGTAGTTACAATAGGAATACAAAGCTCAGGCAGGTGTCAGGCCCTTCACACGTCACCCTCCACCACGAGAGTGGACACTGCCATCTCCACTTTCCTGATGAAGAAACTGATAAGCTGCTTGCCGAAGGTCACACAGCTAGAAGGGGATGGGTAGACACTTGAGCCTTGTGTGGGAGCAGCAGGCATGTAGGGGAGGACCTGGTCTGGGGTCAGTGGCTGGGTAGCATGTGCTGGAAAAGAAGACAAGGGAGCCCTGGAGGCTGCAGGAGGGCACAGACTATGCCCAGGGAAAGGGGCCATGGGGAGTCTGATTACAACACTGCCCAGAAGGGAGCTTTACTTGGAAGGCAGAATCAGAGGAAAGTAGCATGCAGTGTGGATTATAACTGGTTTTAAGGGTGTCAAGGACTCTCCAGAGTCCACTGCTGCTCATACAGCTGTCTTGGGGGCACATATCCCATGGGGCCCCCACCAGGACCCCCTCAGTGGACCCCGAGACTGTGTCTCTGACAGAAGTAACAGAAGTAGGAGGGAGGAATCACAGCAGCCACTTAAGTCCAGGAAGAAGAGTCCAGAGCCCATGCTGAGAGTAGCAGGTGGGGTAGAAGGAGCCCAGGATGAAGGACCAGGAAAGACGGGGCAGTGTGGTCTCACCATGGCACCACAGTGCCAGTCTCCATGGCTGCTGCTCTAGCATTCATTGCCTCTTTCTCTCCTCCTGTAGCTTCCATGAGTCCCCAGCCCAAACAGCAAGGGCTTTGGCACCCTGGGGTAGCTTGCTGCATGGTGCCACCTCACTTCCACCCAGTTCTGCTGTGAACACAGTGGGGCCCCAGGCCTGGGTGGACAGAAGCTCCCAAGTCACCACTACAATTCTTTCCAAATCTGAGCCTATCTGCTGAAGCCCTCGGAACACTGAGTGGGCCAGGCTTGGCCCAGCTAGAACCCAACGATCTGTGCATCACACGCTTTGGTTAGACAAGGCAGATTGTCTGGGTGGATTCAGTGCCAACAAAGGCCAAGTCTCTGAAACAAGCTCAACAGTTTCATGCAGGGATACCCAGGCCAAATGCATGGAGGAGCGGTGCTTCAGAGCTTGGAGCTGGCTGCCAAGAGGGATGAGGCCAAGGACCTACGGCCCCAGGACCTGCCAGGTGCACAGTTCCCCAACCCCACCCCTCCTGCAAAGCCACACACTGCCACAGTAGGCTGTGCTCCCATCTTGTGCCTTTAAAGCATCGGCGGTGGGGACAGGGCCTGGGGAAGCCAGTGGCCCACAGTGCCCCAAGAGCCCTCGCTCACCTGAACGCTCAGCACATGGCTCTGGGGCTCGTACTTGGACTGGAACTTCTCAGGCTGCATGACAACCAGCTTCCCTGGAGACACCTTCAGGAACTTAGCAATTTCACTGCTGAAAGTGTGGTGAAATTTGTAATCTTCTCTCAGGTTATTAGCTGGCAAATTAACAGAAAGATATAATGAAAGTTAACAGAAAAATATAATGTAATTAACTCAACTGCTTATCTGACCAAGGTTCACCTCATTTCCCACCTTGGCCAAAACACATAACCTGAAAACTGTGGCTGATGGGTGAATTCTGCAGGAAGTGGCCAAGGGCTAACACCCAGAGGAAGTTTGTACTTAAACACTCACCGCAGTATAGCACCTTAGCCCTGTGCCTTGGACTGTGTCAGAACAAAACCTACTGAACATTCATGGAAAACGTCAGTCAATTTGTCAACTGCTATCTCCAGAGATGTGCAGCACAGTGACACTGAGGCCCACGTATTTCACAGAGGTCATCCAAGCATCACACATCCCTGCATCCCTATGCCAAGTTTTCACAGCCAGTGCCCTTGGCAGGGGCGGGATTCAGTCTCTGTCTGCATTGTGCAGTGGCCCTGAAGGCAGTTCTTCTTTTCTTCTCTTCTTCTCCTTCTCCTCCTTCTTCTTGACAAGGTCTCACTATGTAGGTGAGACTGAACTGGAACTCACTATGTAGCGAGTTTGGTCTTGAATTCACAGTGATGCTCCTGTCTCAGCCTCCCAAGTGCTGGGATTACAGGTGTGCACCACCACGCCCAGCAAGGCAGTTCTTTTTTAATGCAAAAGCCCTGCTAGGCTGGGGTTTCCCTCTGTAAGATTCCTCTTCCTGTATCATCAAGAATGGATAGGGCCAGAGATTTAGCAGAAAAAAAAAAAGAATGGATAACAAGGGTTGGGGACTGAGCTCAGTAGTGCCATCCCTGCCTTGCAAGCACAAAGTCCTGAGTTTGATCCCCAGAGTTGAGGGGTGGATGACAAAAGGAAGAAAGGAAGGGATAAGAAAAAAAAGTGAAAATAGAAAGAGAAATGGAAATAAAGCTTTTGTACTTAGGGAAAGGAGGAGGGGGGAGGGATAAAATAAAATTTATTAAAAAACAAAAATAAGCCAGGGATTTAGCTCAGTGGTTCTGTTGCCTGCCTTGCAAGTGCAACGTCCAGAGCTCAATCCCCAGTACCCAAAAAAGGAAAAAACAAAAACAAATAGCCAGGTGCCATTCAGGAGGATGAGGCAGAAGGATTGCGAATTTGAGGTCAGCCAGTAGTACAAAGTGAGACTTGTGTCCAAACAAAACAAACTCACACAAAAGTATGACAAGGTCACCTAAGCAATGAAGACTAAGGAAATGTGGACTGAATGTAACTATGCTCTTAAATTTTATTGCACCTCTAATCTGCACCTGATGTATGCACATTTCTTATTGTTTCACACAGAAATCAGTGCTCAGTGGCAACAGTGCACTTAAAAGCTTCTAAGTAGCACTTTAAACATGACCACTGATGGCATTCTTCTTAGCAGTACCAGCATTTACAGGCACTCTGCTGAGAGCTTCACCAACATTACCCCACCCACTGTGACAACTTTCTGGGGAAGGAAGACCACCTCTTAGGCAGTGGACACCAGGCTGGAATCATGGTCATGGCCAGGATGCTACTGACTGGCAGAGCCAGGACTGGAATCCAGGCCGACTTAGGTCCTTGATGCATGGTCAGACCATCTGGATGAGTGGGGCCCCTGTGCCTCCTCTCAGAGGGCAGGGAACATGGCACAGCTGGCCCCGCCTGCTCACCACCCATGAACCCGGCCCCAACCCCAGGGTGCAAGCCACCTCCAACAGGTGCCCCAGGAGGCACTTCTGGTGCCTTCCACAGGGCCAGCACTTACCTGCGTCCTGATACTGCTGGTAGGCAGGGTCACTGACCCCCTGGAAGACCCCAATAATGACAACGTCATCCCCATCCTTCAGGAACTCCTGTACCTGCTTCAAGCTCTGAATCTCCTTGGAGGGAGGCCCCGACTGCTCAATCATGTAGTCCACGATGCCTGGGAGCAGAGCATAGGCCTGAGCAGGGCCCTGGAGCTGACCTGCCTCCAAGCCCAATAGGGTGCCGCCATTCTGTGTTTAGCAGAGCGGAACATTGCCTACCATATTTCTCCCGTGGGCCATTGTAGTCGAAAGGCCTTCCCTTTCGGAAGATTTTCAAGGTGGGGTAGCCAGAGACATCAAACTGCTTGGCCAGGTCTGTCTCTGCAGTGGCATCGACCTTGGCCAGGGGGATTGGGGGAGAGCGCTTGCTCAGCTCCTTGGCCGCCTTCTCGTACTCAGGTGCCAGCTTCTTGCAATGTCCACACCTGCCAGGAGGAAGCTCCTCTGTCAGGGCCCTATCCCAGGGTGGGTGCGTCCCCAGGCTGGCAATCCTGCTTCAGGGAAAGCAGCAGGAAGGTGGGTGCATTCTGCTACACACACTCTCAGGGAGGTGTGCATGTGTACACACATGCATGTTCATGTGTGCAGACAGGAGCATCAGGGACCAAGCCTCAGAGTAAGAGTGGGAAAGGCCAAGAAAGTGCTAAGAAGGGAGAGATTTTCTTGGTCAGAGGGCTGGCAGCTGGCAAGGATACAGCAGGGGTGGCTGCAGAGAAGAAACAACAGCTCTCTGTTCAGCCTGATGGTCACATTCCTGACTTAAAACTCCCTGGCTTCTAATTCGTGTCCATGGCATACCTGCCCTGTGCCAGCCCTGACCAAAGCCCCCACCGAGACGACACGGCACCACAGGCTGTGTCCTGGGAAGGCTGATGGCCCCACCACACCTGTGCGGGTCACATGCCTGCTCCAAGAGGCCAGATGATGGCAGCCACTTGGGTCCCCAAGCTTTGGAAGCCTCACTGAACAGAAGCCAGATGCACTTTCTCTGCTCCTTCTGGAATCTTCTCTTTAGGTTCCTTTGCCCCTATCCCAAGAAAGGATGCCCTGCTTCCTTCCATACTCACTGCCCTGGAGGCCCCTCATCATTGCCCTCCTAGAAGATCCGGCACCTCAACCTCACCTGGCATCCCATGTCCACTGCATCACCTGTCTGCCACCTTCACCCAGGGCCCAGTGACATGGACCCACCCCATCTTACCACGGGGCATAAAACTCCACCAGGATGATGTCGGCATCGTTCACAACTTCATCAAAGTTCTCTTTGGTCAACACCAGCGTGACTTCAGGTGGAGGCATCCAGTTGGGCTGGGAGACTTCTTTGACCTTGGCAACAATTTCTGAAACAAGCAAATGAGACTGAGCACAGAGACCTGAGCCAGCAGGTTCTTAAAGCCAGTGGCTGCTCCAGAAGCTGGCAGGGAGGGAGAGGCAGTCACAGGACAGCAGAAAACATGTGACTTCCTGATCGCTGACTTCAACTCTAGCCAGGACCACACCCGGGCAGGTTTTTGGTTTGTTCTTGAGGTACTGAGAATTGAACCCAGGGGGCTCTGCTACAGAGGTATGTCCCAGCCCTTTTTATTTATTTATTTTTTTTGTGGTACCAGGTATTGAACTCAGGACCTTGTGCTTGGAAGACAGGCACAGTGCCAATGAGCTAAATCCCTGGCCCTACCCCTATTTATTTTTTGAGATAAGAGTTCTGCTAAGTTGCCTAGGCTAGTCTTCAGCTTGTGATCCTCCTGCCTCAGCCTCCCAAGTAGCCGGGACTATACGTATGCACCACAGCTATAAGGACAAGGTCCAGAGGGCTGCCGTTTCTAATGACTGTCTTTGGCATTTCCCACCACTCATAACCAGTGGCCTTCTCTAGATGGCATAAGCATACTTGAGTGACTTCCTTTGTTCTCATGCCACTCACCAATTGCAGGTAGACTTGGATGGTCCTCAGCACAAGACCAAAACAACTCCCTCCAAAACCAAAACTCTCACCAGTGCTTCTTAGGACCTGTGGCTATAAACCCCTTCCCTCAGGGCCAAGTCTGAGAACCAAGCCTGCAAATGGAGGGGTGCACAAGGCACCTTTTCCCACTCCAGCACAGCTCCTGCCACAAACACCTAGAGGCTGGACTCACCTTTCCTGAGGGGGCCCATTTATTACAACATGGGAGGTGGGGGCGGCAAAGCTTCCAAAATAGGCTGGACCCTCGCTGTCTATGGGTCCAGATGCCAAACACAGACTCCCATTTACTTTCAAAGACACACTCCCTTGGACCTGTCTTTAGATTTAATTTCCTACAGACTGACATGGCAAAGCCATTTGTTAAACACAGAGGGGCAGAATAGAGTTTAAGATGGTGACAGTCATATAATGAAAAAAATCATACACACACACACACACACACACACACACACACACACACACACACACTTGCTTCTTTCTCTTGTAAACAAAGTATCTCTCAAGACCATAGAGGAAACTTCTTGGAGGGGAGCTGGGACTCCCAGGGTCAGGGGAGAAAGGTCACTCAACACTCTACATTTCACACCAGGAAGCACAGTGTGTCACCTGGCCATCAGACAAAAGAAGGGACCATGAAATTCAGCATCAGCGAAGTGCCTGCCTTCACAGGCCTGCTGCTGAACCAAAAAGAGACTCAAACAGACTCACAGGGACTCTTGAGATAACATCCAGCTGACCTCAGAAGCCCTAGCAAGGGGAAGGTGCTGCTCCAGGACATGAGCCTATTTTGTGGCTATGTCACAGCTGGGTGAGGTGGCACACATGTCTGTACTCCTAAGCAAGGAGGGAGGCTGAAGCAGGAGGGTTCCAAGTTTGATTTCTGTGTGGGCAAGTTAGTGAGACTGTCTTTAAAAAAAAATAAGGGCTGGGTGTGTGTGTAGCTCAGTGCTAAGAGCCCCTCTGGATTTGACACCCCAGTATAAAGGGGCAAGGGAGATCTGAATCCACTCAATGTTTTTTTCCACCATTCCATGCTAGGAACAAAAATGCAGCCCACCGCCACCCCCAGCCCATGGGATCAAGATCAAGCCTAGGGTCTTCAACACTGAGCTTTATCCCCAGCTCTTTTCTTTTTTTGCTTTCAGTTTTGTTTTTTGTTGTTATTTGTTTTGTTTCGTTTTTCTCCTTTTCACTGAGCTGTGAAGTTCAGGTTAACTCTGAACTCAGTATGCAGCTCAGGCTGGCCCCAAACTCTCAGTAATTCTCCTGCCTCAGCCTCCCAAGGCTGGGATTACAGGTGTGTGCCACCATGCCTTTTCTACATTTTTAATTTTGAGCTCTAAATCACTAAGTTGCCTATGCTAGGCTCTTATTTGCAATTCTCCTGCCTCAGTTTCCCAGAGTACTAAAATTACAGGTACCTGGCCCCAAATGATTAAAAGAGACACACCCTTGCTAAAGAAGATAACAACTTTGTGAAACAGAAGGCCTAACTCAACCCATGTAGACCCATCTCACCACAGCACAGGCAGACCCTGGCACTAAGAAATACCAGTCATTTGGCCTAACTTGAAACTCACTGAATCAAGAGATTCTGGGGTGAGGCCCAGCAGCTGCCTGAGCCCTCCAGACACAGTGAGCATCAAGCACCTCTGCTTGGGACCACACTGAGAAATGTACCTCTGACATCCTTTCTTATGGCCCCAATTCTGATCCTGAGTGTCACAGTGTCATGGTCTGGATGTGAGGACACCCTGCCAAGGAATGAGCCTGGTCTGTTACCCTGGTCATGTGGCAGAGACCATGTTCCTGGACTGTTCACCTTTCCTTCCTATCACCCAAGGCTGCCACCTCGCTTTCATTCCTGGGGAGGGGTGCTGGGCCCTGGTGCCTGGTGCCTCCAACAGCCAGGGCACAGCTCACCTTCCTGCGTCCTGGAGCCCTCATAGTCAACGGCCTGGCCCTTCTTCAGGATCTTGATGGTGGGGTAGCCGCTCACGTCAAACCTGCTGGCCAGCATGGACGCTGAGGTGGCATCTATCTTAGCCACAGGAATTGAGGGTTCATTATCCTTTAATGTGCTGGCGATTTTCTCATATTCTGGAGCAAATTGCTTGCAATGTCCACACCTAAGAATTTGATTCAGGGAAGGAGAAATGAATTAACTGCATCCATGGAGAGTTAAGCCCAATGAAACCCATGAGAATGGGGGCTCCAGGAACCATATGCACTTGAGAGATTCCAATAACCCACAGGGAGGCCAAGAGACTCTGGAGTTAATTGAGCAGGCCCAGGTCTGAATTCCAGCTCTGGCTTGGACAAATCCTTCCAACTCTAACTTGTACAGATTTGTTTTCCAGTCATTATAATCCCTAAACAATGCAGCACAACACTATGTACCTAGCATGTGTGTTGTGTCAGGTATTGGAAGTAATGCAGAGACATAGGCAGGTCATACAAACATCACTGCCTATAGAGAACTTGAGCATCTGAGGGTTTTGAAGTCTGAGGAGTGGAAGAGGCTGGAATCAACCCACCTCAGACATCAGACACATAAGGAAGGACACATAAACCCGTCAAATCTGGCCTAATAATAACTTCCGAGTCTGTGAGGTTATGATCTTTTCCATGTCCTTTACCCTGAGGACAGAGTGGAGGTGTCCAGATGCTGCCTGGCTTTCAAGGATGGCAGCTGCAGACCCAAAGCAGATTGCTGTGTGAACCAAAAGGGCTGGGAGTGGAGCTCTGAGTATGGCGATCACCCAGCATGTGACGCCCTGGGTTAGACACTCCACAGCACACAAAAGAAAAAGTCTTACTACAAATAATAAATATTTTGAATATCTCTCCATTTTCTTTCTTTTTCTTGAGACAGGTTCTCGCTTTGTAGTTCAGGCTGGCTCTGAACTCACTATGTAGCCCAGACTGGCCTCAAACTTGAGGTGATCCTCCTGCGTGCTGGGATTACAGGCATGTGCCACCACTCCCAGCTTCTATTTCCACTTTTAATATGAATACCCTACCTGATAAATGATACTGACCAATACTGAAAAACATGACACACCAAAAGCTCTTTGGGGTCTTCAGTTTAAGAGTGTTAAGAGTAAAAGAATCTTGTGCTGGGCATGGTGGTACATGCCTGTAATCCCAACACTCAGGAGGGTGAGGCAGGACACTGACAGGAGTCTGAGGCCAGTCTGGACTACAAAATAAAATCTTGACTCTAAATAAATAAATAAGGAATCTTGTAACCAAAAAGCATGAAATATGAACTACAAAACAGAAGTGAAGGCTAGGAGTGTCGCTCTTTGGAATACTTGCTTAGTAAGCCTAAAGCCCTAGGTTCAATCCCTAGCACTGCAAGAAAATAAAATAATAAAATCTGCAAAACCAACATTACTTCTTATCTACAAGATACAACCAAATAGGAGATGACCCATAGACCTACTGAAAAGACTTAGATGTTTTTATACAAAACCCTTAGTCTATACTTAAGACAACAGGTAAGTGACACAAGTAGACCCTCACCATTCTGCATCAAAAATGAAATGGGGTGAGCGCTGGGGTGGGGGAAGAACAGGAAATAGAAAGCAGCATGAGGGGAAAGGAACACAAGGGTTGTCAGGGGCCGCATACGGGGTGACACAGGAAAAAAAGGAATGCATGTGTCCCCCAGGCTAGGCATGTGTGAAAGACATTTCTCAGGTCAACAGCCTACACTTCAGGCCTTGAACTTGGCCTGCTTGGAAATGGGAGAAACAGCCTTCCATAAGGACCCCAGCTCCCAGCACCCCTAATTCAGGAGCTGAATTTCTGCAGCGAGACCCTCCCACTGCTCAGAGGTTGTCCAGCTGGGACTCTGGAATGTTTATCCTTACCATGGTGCATAGAACTCCAGAAGCACTGTGTCCTTGTCAGCCACAAAGTTATCAAAGTTGGCATCATTTAGGACCAAGACGCCATTTTCCTCCTTAACTTCCAAGTCTTCCTCCTCCTCCTCGTCCTCTTCCTCATCTTCATCTTCAATGGCGCTTTCCTTATCAGGAGAATCTAAGTGGAAAGTACAAACACTGCTTAGGAAACTGGCCACTCTGCTTGGGAAATTTCCTTAGCACCCCCCACGTTTGAGGCTTGTGTCACCCTAAAATACACTCTGCATTTCATATCAGGGAGGATGAAAACCACGGTTCCAGATTTTAAGAGTCCAAACGCTGGGGAAGGACATGGGGGGAGGGCCAGCCACCACTTGTCAGAGGCACTCTGCACAGGCACAGTCTTGTTATAACCTGCCATGACCCAAACAGAATGAACAGGAACCATGGCCTCCTTCTCAACCTTCATCCTGGATGTTTCTGAAAGGGGTGGCCAACCTCAGAAAAATCAGCCTCAAGGGTTTTATCCTTTTAGAGGGAAAGACCAAAGAAAGTAGGCAGTCATGTTTTACTACGAAAGTCACCTCTGAGGAACATCCAGGATAGGAGACACTCTAACAACTTGAGGAATTTACGGGGTCCACGTGCATTAAAAATATTCAAAAGGGCCAGGGATTTAGCTTAGTGGTGCCGCCATTTGTATCACAAGCACAAGGACCTGAGTTTAATCCCCAGTACCCCCGCAAAATCAACAAATTATACCTTTGCGTGGAAACAAAGTTTTCTTCCTACAATGCCAGAAACTGAGTATATCCTACTATCAAATTTAATTCATTGTCAAAACTACAGTGACCACACAACCCCAGTTTCTCCAGCTACTGTCGCAGCAGTAAACAAAACCATGCATAGCAACACGATAATTTCATTACTCTGAAGCCAGGCTTGTTCTAGGGGCCAATTACTCTTCCTGGGGCTGCTTCCCAGGAGCTCAATCAACACTGCTAGTCACTGTGCCAGGATGTGGATGCCCTCGGGACTGGAGACCCTAGGGAGCTGCCCATTCTAACAAAGCCTGGGCTGGCTCTACGGAGCCACTCCCTGGGTACACTGAGGCTCTTGGGAGTGGGAGCAGCTCAGATCAATCACTACTAAAATGTAGCACCCTGCAAACCAATTACAAAAGCCCACGAGACACACCTGCAACTCACACTCATCATGCTTTGCTCAACACTTTCCCCTTTCTTTTCCTACTGTGCACACTCCCCATCTAGTGCAGGCCTGTCCTCCTCCTTTGTTGGAGGCAGGGAAAATGGCACTAAAATGCCAGTTTCTGCACTTCTAGGTGCAGAAACCGACCAACCTGGCTTTGATTCTCCTGCCCACTGGTTACAGGACCTGGCGGGAGAAGAGCTGGGGACCAGGCTCCCAGGATGCACAGCCTGGGAGAGAGCACTGCCTTGGCAGCAGCCCAAATAGAATGGGCTTCTGTATAGTGCCCAGAGAGGATGGATTCCTCAACTAGAGAATAGCATGACTGGGATAAAATTTCCAATTTTTCTGTCCCCTACTCAAATTTTCCTAGACCACTGAGAAGCAGTGGTACTCAGAACATCCTGTCTGGTCTCTTGACATGTAAAACCTATCGGGAGGCCAAAACACTCACCTTGTTCTGGCGCTGTTAACTAAGCCCCAGGATAATTGACCCTGCCCTAGGGCTGGTGGGGTTTACCTTTTCCTTTACACTCACATCAGGCTGAGCCCCTCTCAGCAGCCACCCGACAGCGCCTGGTCCTCCTGAATCCCAGGAGCTCCTGTCTTGGGCCCCCAGGCTCTGTTATAGAACACTGGAATTCGAGAGTCCCCAAGTGACCATGCAGGGAAGATCTGCAGCTCACCAAGGCAAGCACAGCACCCCACTCCACCCCACCAAGGAACCTTCATGTTCCTGTGGCAGTGGGAGGCGATGTCTGTGGGTCACCGTCACCCAATCTCACTGCTGGCTGCTTTGCCCAGCCAGAGATTTGAATCCAATCAAAGATGGGAAGACTGGAGAGAAAAGGCCACAGACGAAGAAGGACTGGGGACTCAATCTGCTTCCAACCTAGGAAACCTAGCTAGGAGAAGAAGGAGAAACAAGTCTGCTCAATCACATAGATGGAAGATTTGCATTTACAGTCAAGACTCCTAAACCTCAACCAAATGGGTGGGTCATTCCCAGGTGTGGTGGCACACACCTGTCATTCTGCCACTCAGGAGGCTGAAGCAGGAGGATCACTACAGCTGCAGGCTTGAAGGCAGCCTGGGTTACACAGTGAAACCCTGTCTCAAAAAATAAGCAACAGTAACAAAAGCCCTAAAACAAAACGGCCTAATGGCTTGGTACATGACCTGAAACAAATCTGTTAGACAAGTGACCTGTGAGAAGCTGTGAAAAAGAAATGGCCAGAGATCCCCTCCAAGGTGGGGAAAAAGTCAAGGTGTGAGCTAGACACCTGGCCCCTGGAACCCTGCCCTTGGTCAGGACACCTCATGGATTCCTGGGTTCACCCAAGCAACTACCGCTTTCCAGGGACTCCTGTATGAGTAACCTATGACACACAGGACAAATGTACTGGGCCCAAAGGCCTGGGAAGACCACCCATGTGTGCCTGTTTCCCAAGTCCTTTCAAGATCCCCTTCCCCAAAAGACCACTGGATCAAAACCTTTCAGCTATGTTCCAAAAATCACCCAACCACCCTTGCCTTCAAACTTCCTTGTGCCTTCCACTTTATTCCGCCCATGTGAAAAACTGAAAAACTAACCTGCTCACCCTACTTTCGGGCAGCACCGATACCTTTTCTTTCAGCAGGTGTTTCTGAGTGCTGCTTCTTACTTCCTTTTCTATTTGGGCAAAGAGTGTTTAGAATCCGTGATCTACACGGAAGTTACTCAATCCGTATAAGAGAGTATAAAGTCCACACTTTCCCTACAAACTAATATTGGGAAAGAGAATTTGCTTATATTGGAATACACTCAGTAGGTACACAGCTAAGTGGTCAGGAGGTCGGACAGAAGGTTAAGACCGGTACCGCACACCCTGCTCTCTAGGAAGACCAACTAGTACTTCCTAGTTTTCAGTTATGTTTGCAACTGGGTAATTTCTTTTCTTTTTTTTTTTGTTTGTTTTTTGGTACTGGGGATCGAACTCGGGACCTAGCGCTTGCAAGGCAGGCGGTGGAACTACTGAGCTAAATCCCCGGCACAACTGGGTAATTTCGAAGAAAGCAAACTCAAGGACGATGAGCAGAAGCCGCGCACTGTTCCTGCTAAAATGCAAACTTGGAGGGCAGGGACCACACGCCTAGCGCTACTGCCAGCAAGCACCCAGCAGGGGCTGGGTAAATGCAGACGAAAGAACGAGAGCTTCGGTTTCTGCAAAAGCTGCAACGCAAGCTTCCCTCTCCCTCAAATCGCAACTCCTGCGTGACATCCAACTCCACAGATCCCGTTGTGGCGCTTGCTGCCCCCCTCCGTGGGTCCCACTAGGTTCCCCACTAGGGTCCCGGCGCTCTCGCCCGTGCTCTGGAACCTGTACAGGAGGCAGTGTCCCGCCTGTCTTTCCACTCTCCGGGGCGCGATCGTCTCAACTTTTAACCACTTTGGCACTGCCTTTGCCAGGGAGACTCAGGGAAGAAACCTGAGCGAGTCCAGACAAGACACGCAGCCTGGCCTCGGGCCCGGGGAGCCCTCAGGTCGCAGCCCACGAGGCCCTGCGCTCTTGGGGTCCCCAGGGCGCCCCCTCTGAGCACCACCTCCGCCCTCGTCCA